TCCCAGACTGCTGTGAAAATCTGCCTCTAGTAAAATGTAACTAATGCCCAAAATATAACATTAAATTAAAGGTCAGCAGGGAACTGAGATCTCTGCCCAGCAGAGAGTAAGCAGGCTTTTATCGTATCCCTAAAGACAAGAGGCTATGGCGTAGAAAAGCCAAAGCTATGCATTTTGCAAGTCTCAGCTTTTCAGAGCACTCAACCATCTGCCCTGAAATCCCATTCACCTGTAAGGAAGGGGTGCTGCTAAGCAAATAGGAAAGTTTCTCCTTTCTGAAGTTCACCACAGAATTATCAGGCTTGTTGCAACCTAGGTGTGAACCGGGCAAAGCAGATGCTTCCCATGTGGTGTCTCAGGCAAACCACCAGGTGGGCAGATGCACTGAAGGGGAAGATGTGCTCTGGAATACACTCTGCCTATTAGAGCATCTTCGTGGTGGTAGAAGTCTCAAAACTGCAGGCACTTGGCTTCCCACCAGGGCTCAAAACAGTAACTCTTAAGAAAGCCATAGCCCCCAGGACTTCAGAGTTGTCTGACTGATAGGTCTAACAATCACCGTGAATTTCACAGTATTAATGAGAACTCAATGCAGATTTTCCTGATCCAAATACAAGTCCCCAGTGTGCAAGTGAAAGAAGAAACAGCCCAAGCATCTGCAGGAGAGCGGATACAAGTCCGGCAGTTTCAGCTCCCAGCAGCAGAGGCTGTACACAGAGTTGCAAAGTGTTGTGAAACCCCGAACTTGTTAGTTCTTAGGAGAAGGGAATTAGCAGTACGATTGCTCCACAGGAAGATGAAATAGTGCTGGCTCAAGGCAGGAAGCATTTTGGCTCCGGTGTAGCCAGAGGCCACAGATTCACAATGGGCTGCAGCCTGCTTGACTGTTTCCTTATATCAGCACTCCAGGGTGGTCTCATTTCAAATGACGGGTGCTCTTAGATCACCAAGCTGGCCCTGATCACTAGCAACGATACTTGAGAGGCAAGAAGAATCATAGCTGGGAAGAAGTATTCCTGGCAACTTCCTTTGGTATCTGCATGTTGTTATGTTGATTTAATCATAACTGCAAACCTCAAATTACACAATGGCAAAATCTGTTTTCCAAATACCTTCTTGTGGTTTCTAGGAAATGGACAGCCCCTATGCCAGCTCCAAAACCAGCCATCAGCAGGTTGGGTCAGCAGGTAGGAGCCGGTGCTCTGGGACCCAGCCCTGCCTCTGCCCAGCACCATGCAGGGACACAGCCAAAGCCACCTCACCTCAGTCTTGGCTACACAGCTCTGTGCCTTAGGTAACTCTGTGCATGCGGTGGGTTGATATATCCCAGTGGCAACACGTAAAACCAAGAAACACCCACAGACAAAATATGGCTTCTAAATGCCAAACACCAGCACAGCCAAGAGGTGCCCAGGGAGAACCAAGGCTCTCCTGGATTTATCATCATGATAAGCATAGAGATTGTGTTTCTTCACTTCTTCCCCTCTCAGCTGCCTCCTGCCTCTTCATGCACAAAGACATGATCTCTCCACGAGAGTTATTCTGCCCTCTGATAAACACTAGCGACTGATGTGTTTCACTGAGGAGCAAAGGGCAGGACTGAGGGACCAGGTGCTTCCAGGCTTCTCCAGCATTTTCCAGTCTGCTGTGTCAGGAAAGACATTTCAACACTCAGTAGGACACCAAATACAGACAAGGGTAATATTCAACACCCTGCTGGGGCTCTCCAGTTAGAGATGGGAGACACACATGGGAGCAGCTTAGAAGGAAGCCTAAAGAGAACATGAAATGAGTGAGATTGACTAAATTTGAAACAAGAGCTTTTAGCTTAAAAGAAGGTGGCCAACGATACATGAAGCTAACCTGGGACTTGCTTTTGCCATCAGTGTCACATAACAGATGCTCAGAAGTTAACTTTGTTGCGAGCAGAATAAAACCCAAAGAGAATTAAATACTTTAAGGTCTAAAGAGCCATTAGGTCATCAAGTCTGATATCCACATGTGGCACGTGTTCCAGAATTTCACCAAATCATTCCCACATTAAGTTCATTTTTTCTTCCAGAAACGAATCCACTTTGTAACAAAAAGGTGTTGGAGTGTCATATTTCAGGAGGGTAAGGCATGCATCAGGTGTGGCTTTCTTGGGACCAAGAGAGAAGGGGAATGACACAGGCTCCCAGACCATGGGTTGTAACCATGCTTCACCTCATGCTGCTCAGCCTCTGCACTTCAACTCTGTCCTCGTCTGTTCCCCAATATTGCAATAAGCAGAGATGTTGGTATTGAGAAATCAGTGTCCCACCATGACCTGGCAGCACTGAGCACAAAAATACAGCAGGAGCTGCCAAAATACTTACCATATTCCCACCAAAAATTTTCAGAAAAGAAATTGGAAACAAAAAGCTTTTCTTTTAAAAGAAGAAAGAAAAATGCCAGCATTTTAATCCTCTTGCCTCATAATTGAGCCCCAGGTTATGCCACAATTCAGGTAAACGATGTTTATATAACTAGCATTTGGCTGAATGCATAATTCCTATTTAACAGCTGAAGAGAAGCATTTTGGGTCTTCAAAGAAATTTGACAGGTAATTCCCACTGTAGCTCTGCAGGGTAGCTGAGAGGTAATTATCCTTCTCACTAGTAAATCAATTAGGAATGAATGTATGGAAAGCTTTTCTCCTCCTCCAAGTAACTGCTAATCCTCTAAGCATTAATGAGCAGACGGGGCTAGCAACAGTGTACAAACCCATCAAAAATCGACAGGAGCTGCAAGGCGTGCAGGGTCCAATCAGTATCTGGGAGCTAATCCTCAGGAGAAGATATCTTGCCCGGAAAGGCTCTGCACAATTCTCCATGTGTGCACGGGCCCCATGCACACGTGTTACTTTTGGTATCTCCCTCCCTGTTTATTGCCTCAAAGACAGACCTGGCTTTGGGGCTCACAAGAGATCACTGCATTGTGTCCAACTAGCCAGCATACATGGTGTTAGAGGTGAAACAACGGATTCACCTCACATACTGCTTTGTGATTCATTACTGGTGGTTGTCTTCAGGAGCTCAGCAAAAACATGGTGCTTACTCTGCAGGCCACTGTAACAATATTCTCCCAGAGAGACTTGGAGAAGATTACGAACCAAGTGCATTTTTTGCAGTGCACAACCTAATGAATCTGTAAGTGGTGGGTGGACAATAAACCTGATATTAAATTTGACAAATCCCAGATGTTCCAATCTAGTGACACCTTCTCCGGGAATTTTTCAAATGCTGCATGGATGTTTGGCATTGCTTTGAGAGTCAACGGAGTCAACTCCAGGTTCAGACAAACCAACTGCACACAGTAGCAGTGCCCAGTTTAGCAGAGGTTGAAAGAATGAATGAAAACAAGTTATTCCCACAGCAGCCAGCACTGAAACTGGTTTTCTACAGGTATTCTTCACCACTTGTCTCTCCATTTCAAAAGATTTTTCAGAAGGGAGGAGAAGAGGGCAGGTAGGTCCAGAAATCATTTTCTTAAGACATAGGACCAAAAATTTTTTTTTTAATTGTCAGCTGAAGTAAAACAACAGGTAAAGATAGGTCTGCGTGCCACTGTGTGATGAAATTTAGATGTTATTAATAAAAAAAAGGAAATAAAAGACTTAATCTGTAAAGCTCAATAGCTTGAGAAATTGCTAGAAGATAATCATATAACCTAGTACTCTGATTTGTGAAGGAGATTTTACACTGGTGACATTGAATTTGTAACTGAGCATATTGCCGCTGATTTTAGGTGGGCAGAGTTGCTCTGGAAACAGAATGAAGAAGAATTAACTCTTCAGTGCCCACCATATTGGATACAGGAGGGGTGTGAAGGCCAGGAGAGCTCATTATGAAACATCTTCATTCCATTTTGCTCAGAAAAAAGAAGTCAAGGTGGTTGTCACAATAATTCAGCTTCTGCATTAGAAAAAAATATAAGCTGACCCCTGCCCACTGCATTCTTCCTCTCCTCTATACATCCAAACACACACACATTGTTGCCGATAGTAATCAGAGCTGTGACTGCCTTGAGGTTGCATACACTGAAACAAATGTCAATCCTGAAACCTCCATAGGCTGACCAGCACTGGAAAACACAATAGTAGTAATAAGAACAGTACAAGTAACAAAATACTAGTTTGAAAACCTATTGATGGAGACAGGAGATGGAGAGTTTGGAAGTCATCAAGCCAAATGGGCTGCACCCCATCGAAACACAGCTCCACTGCCAGCAATTAGCTACACGCTGCAGCCCTCCCACATTGATTTCTGTGGGTAGCTGAAAGCGCCTTGTCCCGATACCTCCCTTGAATCAACACAGGCAATAATTTTAAACCAAAAAGGCACCAGTAGTAACTCCTGGGCTGCGTTCTGTGAGCCAGCTGGAGCCCTAATTGCATCACGTGGGAAGCGTGAGCAGGAGGTTGAAAGCTATGACCTCATCTTCTCTCCTACACATTCAAATCAAATCTTAGGTCTCCCACCCACTCTCCCAGGCATGTTCTGCTTTCAGCCCCCTTACATGATGTACCAATGAAAATGTCATCTACATCTTTACCTCCAACTTCTAGCTAGGGAAAGCTTAAAGGGGAAAAGAGTCAAATGCAGAAATAAATGCCTTTTTCTCAATATTTCTAATAACATGGAGGCAGAGAGGTGTATTAGCCAAAGCCAGTGTAAGCAAGAGTCCCAGAAACGTTTGTGTGAGTTCAGCTTCTTTAAAGGTGTTACAGGCGGAAGCAAATAAAAGCAACCCTTTTACTTCTCTAACACATGCAGCAGGAGATTAAGGACTCCATCCCTATCAGAAAAACAGTCATAATTCTACTGGATTCCATGGAATTGCACCAGTGCAACTTAGACACAGATTCAAGCTCTTGTGAATTACCAGCAGATTTCAGTTTAGGATCATAATTCCTCTCAGAATGAACAGAATGCCGTAATTTTGTTTCTATAGCTACCAGCTCGATGGCTCTCCCTTACCTTCCTCTTGTTAGTGGGACTGACATAAAGGTAGCTCAGCACAGTCTTCAGGCCTACTTTTTCATTTAGCTTTTCATAGGTAGTGCCATAGTCTGTTGACCTGGAGAAAAGAGGAGACAAAAAGAGTTTATGTGGTTATTAGAGCTCAGGGGAAGGAAATTACATGTGAACAGATGCTCAAAGTTACAACTTGAGCACTACTACCCTCAAAACTCAAGCTTTTGCATTTCATTCAGGGTGACCAGCAGAAAAGAGAAGAAAACTTTGGGGCAGCATCAATTGATCCTATGCACCTGGGAGCCGTGGTGCGCACATGAAGGTGGACTTTGGGAGCAGGCTCTGCTCTCATGTACCAGTGTGGGATTGCAAATAGTATCTACGAGAGGACTCTGATCTCAGCAGCACACTTAGCACAAATTCTCTTTTCAGACAAATCCAACAGAAGAATCCAAATTAAACCCGTCAACAACAGTTTTATTTAAGCAAGCTGATTTTTGACTTGGAGATGGGGATCCAAATGTGGCTCAGAATTGTAACAGCTGAACTCATGTCTAGATAAAAATGTAGCTAAACTGGCATCTTGAGTCCTCAGTCACCCCCATCCTACTTTGTGCCAGGCATTTAAGTTTTCTGAGTTACAGAGACAGATTCAGGCCCCTACACTAGCAAATCCCACCCAGAGGAGCAGATGATCTGGGGGTGGCATTATCCATTCGTGACTGGGGAAAAGGGCTCCTTCGTCACAGAGGGTTTTCTGTAGCTTCCTCCTCCTCATTTGTGGGCATGTTTGAAACCTCACTTTGCCCTGCTTGTTCCTCTGCTGGTTTTGTACTCTGCTTTTCCTAACAAACACGTTTTTTCCTACCAGGAGAAATCAACAGCTACCTAGTACAGGATCCCACACGTGAAGAGTGGTCAGTACCAGTTTGCTTTAGGAAGGGTGTCACAACCTGCATGAAAAGCCCATCCACTCCATCCAAACAGTGGGGAGAGCCTGGCTGCTGACCCTACACAGCTTCTATCATATGGACAGAGCAAACACAATCCTATCAGGTAGACACGGAAAGACCCTCACAAAAAGCCTACCTGGACATACCTATGATTTGATTTAGATGATAGTTCTTGGTCCCTGCCCTCCTCTCTAATCACGCTTTTCACTAAACAGATTATTAGAGAACATGTAGCAATTCAGCTTCAGTCATTTTTCTGATTTTCTAAGTTCAGCAAGCCTCCAGCATCTGCAGCTTTGTGGATCTGCCCGAGACCAGTTCTCTGCTCCTTCTCTGTCTGGCAGAGGAACGGCCCAAGTCACCCTCCTGATGTCACACTGCCACTGTGCCCAGCGGCTCAAGGCTCCCAGTCAAGCAGCTGCAGAAACTGAGCAACGCTGGAATCTCCACCCAGGTCCGATGGTTTCCTTGCTGCTAGTGGAGTCCAGAATGGCACCGAAAGGGCCGTGCTGCAAAGCCAGGTGGCTGGTTTCAGGCTTCCAAGTAGTGAGACCCATGAAGTCAAAAAGCTTTGTTTGTCACTGATAAACCACTGTGTGCCTGCAACTCATTTGCTTCTGTGCATCTTTCACGCATAATTCCCTCATGTTGTGCAAACTGGTTCTTTCCTTAAATGAGTAGAACCAACCTTCCTCCTTTGAACACCCAGCAGTCAGGGGTCCTTCAAGTCTTAAACAACTTTCTTGTGTTCTGGTTTAGCTCTTATACTAAAATAGACCTAATACTAGCTCTATTTACACTTAATATTCTCTTGTACTAATGCATAGTATTGATACTTGCTGGGCTTCACAGCGACATCCCAAGGGATATTACAATAATGTATTGTATTTCCATAGCACTTTCCCATCCAAAGAATCTGAAGCTCTTGTCTGGCTAGGTATGAATACCAGACCAAAAAAAAAACCAAAAAAAACCCAAACTAGCAGCTTTGCCCTTCCAGCCAATCTTCAAAATGAAGCCGCTGGATTAATAAAGCTGAATAATCCAGGCCAATTAATTCCACTACACAAGGCCTCCTATACATGCAAATTCAACAGGTCAGGAATCCTCAAGTAACACTAATCTCTAAGCACAGGATAACACGCAGAGGGCAAGCACTGAGGTACTTCCTTGATCTCACTCTTCCAACAGCACTGAGGCTCCCAACAAGCAACATTCATCACTACACATGTATCAGCCACCAGCCAGGGCAAGAGATCACTGGTTTCAATCAGCATTCAAAGAGAATACAAATAACAGTTTAATATTCTGACAGACCTACTTTGGTTTTGTTCTGCGAATCGTTTTCAGATCTCCCAAAATGCTTTGCACTTCTAAAGATGCAGGCTGGATGCCCTAATGACTCTTTCTCATTAAACCATTATCACTCATTGCATTTGCCCTTTCAAAGAATAGCTAGAAAGAAAGTAGGATCATTATTTCGTTACCTTCTCTAAGGCTTGCTTTATTATCATGACAGTCACCACTGGCTTCACAGAAATGTCTCAAAGGATATCACAATAATATACTGTATTTCCATAGCACTTTCCCATCCAGAGAATCTGAAGTTTTTGTCTCATGTTAATCCATTCAAACTAACAAAGTCCCAAGGGCCATACTGGGAAATATTATCTCTATTCTAGAGATGAATAAACTGAAAGCTTGCATTTCATTTTCTTTTTTTTTTTTTTCAAAGCAGTCATTTACAATTAGCCATTTCAGATTCTATAATCATCTAGTAGATGGCTCAATACTGAAACCTGCTAAACTCCTACCACCAAACTGCCTAATTTGAAAACAAGTATTTATAAAAAAAAAAAAAAGTTGGCTGCCTAATTTCCTAATTTTAGCAACTCAAGCCTGAACATTTGAAGATATGTGATCCACAGGTGGAACAGAAGAGTTCTGGCTCAGCTTTTTAATCTTAACTTGCATCCTTCTCCCTTACTAATTACTTAACTTTGCAGTCAAAGACTTCTAACTGCAAATTAATTAGCCCACATGTCCTTACCACTGCTTGACACTACAAGCAGACTGGACACCATGTTTTCTCTCCCATTCCTCTGGTCAGAATAGGATCCAATTCAAAGCACACTATTAAAGGAGTGGAGAGGAAGAAAAGTTGTAGTTATACCAAAATGACAAAAGTCTCAGCGATACAAAAGAACCTTTCCATGAGTCACACCCCAAATGCCTGCTTTAATTGTGGTTGGGCCCTCTGTGGCTAACTGATCTGCCTAGCTGGTTCTCCTCTGGGTTGCTCCATTGAAGGCACCACTGGAGTGTCATCATCTTGGAAGGCTGTTATTGCCTTCAGCCTCAAGTTGATATTTGCAGATTGCTTCTAACCACATACACACACACACACACGTATACATAAAAATGTTATTAACAATGCTTTCATAAAACCAACTCGTGCGCCTCGTTACACCACTGGTAGCACAGTTCCAGGGATGGGGCATCTAGCACCTCTCTGGGCAACCTGTGCCAGTGTTTCACCACCTTCACTGTAAAAAATTTCTCCCTTACATCTAGTTTGAATCTGCCCTCTTTTCATGTAAAACCATCACCCTTTGTTCTATCACTACAGACTCTGCTAAAAAGTCTGTCCGCATCTTTCTTGTAAGCCCACTTTAAGTACTGAAAGGCTGCAATAAGGTCTCTCCAATTTCATTGTTCCCCCTTTCCTGCTTTCCCTCCTGCAAACCAAGCTGCTGACAATACCCCAAGAAAGGCTGCACAGTGAAAAGCAATAAAATTCAAGGGGTAGTCCAGTCTTGAACGGACCTTCGTCTACTCCAATTCAGTTTTTTGGGTTTTGTAACTAGCAGTTTTTACCAGCCATGAAGAAGAATCTCTTTGCTAGTCTTTGTTAACATGAAGAAAGGCTTGATCCAATGCAACGCCCAAATAAATGTGGGCTTTCCCTCTGAACAGGCTCTGGCAACAAATTCTACGTATTCTCTTTGGAAAAGCAAAGTTTATAATGGAATTAATTTGTTGGGAGACTGCAAATTCTCTCATAATCGTTCCCAAACAGTTGGGAAAGAAAAACATGTGCTTGATTCCACTGCCCTCCCCTGATGGGCCACAACATGTTCTAACTGTTGCTGCAAGTGCTGTCTCAGTCTGGCAGAGCAGGGTCCAAGGGGCACACCCAGGCAGAGAAGCTTCTCTCTACCAAATCTGGAGTGCACTGAGCACTAACAAAATCCATCGTGTTCCTGTAGGTCTGAGCCTGAGCTTCCCCGTAAAACAAACAGGCCTGAGCCAGCAGACTTTAATATTGTTATAACACTTGCTCATCCCAGGGATATGAAGTAGAGGTGTGGAGAGACAGAGAGAATACCATCCGAGTAGCTTTTAGAGGAGTCTTCCTCTCAGATGGTTTCCAGGGCTCTGTCAGGCAGAGAAAGGACGTTCTGTTTGTTTGCAATCTCAGCTACTCAGCTATGGAGATAGATTATAAAATATGTATCAGTCTGTCAGGAGAAAAAGAGCTGCAAATGCTGGTACTGGATGGCTGGGAGGGACAAGTCAACCTCCTGGAGTGTACATGTGCCACCAGCTCTCCTGTCAGGGGGTTTCTCTTCTGTTCCTGTGACTCTCCCCGACTGTGTTTGGAGATGGAGCAGGTATGGCTTTGATGTTAAGATTCTCAGCCTTTTTCTTAAGATACTAAAGCTTATGCAAGCATCTCCCGATCAGAGTCCTGCTACACACACCCATAGCCCCACGCTGAGAATTGTGTGGGGGCACAGCTCCGCTTAAGTGAGCGGGGGAATATCCCGATTCTCTGTGCACTTCAGAGAGCCACAGGAACACACACAGCCCAGATTAACATTTGCTTCCCTTCTCGTGTGCCTGCAAACCGCCTGCCTGCAGTGTGCCTTTCTCTCCACGCCCCCAAAGAACTATGTTTTTTTACCCATTGGCCAATTTTCTCCCAGTTTGACAGAGAAACAAAAACCCAAGAAGAACAAAATTTCTACAAGTTTAATGAAAACCAGCAGCCAGCAAAAGGAGAGCAAACTTCTTAGTGCTCAGAGAAAAGCTGCAGCATGAAACCAAATCCCATGAGACACGAGAGCAGGCACATCTGTCTGAACAT